ATTATTATTATTATTATTATTTATCTAGACATTATTATTTTTATTATTTTTGTCTTTGACTCTTTTTAAATTTGAATGTATGAATTTTTTTTTTGAAATCTTATCAAATGTAAAAAATCCACGAAAATTCTACAAAATCCCACAGAATCCATTAAAATCCTGATTTAAAAGTCTTGCAGAATCCATTAAAATCCTGATTTCAAGTCTTGTAGAATCCTGCAAAATCTTAAAAGTCATGAAATCCTGCAAAGTCTTTTAAAATTCGCAGGATTTTTTTTAACTAAAAAAGTCCTTTAAAATCCTAATCTAATACACCCCCCTAAGACTCTCACTGATCACCCAAGTTGTGCAACCCTGGAGCGATAAGGCGGTTTGCAAACCTCAAGCAACAAAGCAGCCTCTCTCCTAAAACCAGAAGTCGTGACAAACTCATGTCGAATATCCTAAACAACCTCTCTGATATCCCTCGTGCCATGCGTAGACAAAGTGGTGACACTACTCCGATTTGAATCCTCCCCTACAATATTTTCTTTTCAGCGTCTCTTACAATATTAAGGGGGGTGTATTGGTTTAGGATTTCGTAGGATTTTAAAAGACTTTTTTTGAGTAAAAAAATTCATTGGTATTCAATCAGGATTTTCAAGATTTTTTAAAGAGTCCATTAAAATCCATTGGTATTCATTTGAGATTTTTTACAACTTAAAAACAATTCATTGGTATTCAAGAAATATAAGGATTTTAAAGGATTGTTGTGTGAGAGGGATTTTGAAGGACTTTCTAGTGTTATCTATAAATACCAAATTCATAAAACAATCCCATCCAAACCCATCGGATTTTGAAGGATTGTTTGAAGTGACTTTTCAAGAATTTTCAAGTGAGTTTTTCATCTTTTTCTTTTTTATGCTCCTGTCTTCTCCATTTTTTCTCTGCTAATAATATTGCACTATTGTTCATTGCTCATATATAATATAGTAGTATTGTTCTCATCTCATTCCCCTATTTTGTGAAACTCCGATATGTAAATGATGGTGTCATTGATTTTCTCTATTTTTCTGTTCGTTCTCTTTAATTGATTTGCTTTATTTTATTTTATGTAGTTGAATTTGTTCCTTTATATAACACAAAAAAAATGCTTAAAATTTTAACTTTTAAGTGGTAATTTTTTTTATAACACACGTCAAGCAAAGAATAAAGTGAAAGATGAAATTGATATCATAATCTCTACAATATATATATATATATAAGATGAATTTGTTAGGGTTTCTGTGAGTAGAATGAGATGAAAATGGATCATAGTTGGTGGAACAACCCTCTCAGCATAAAAATTGCGACTTATCTCATTTCCTTAAGTTTGTT